AGAAAAATGCCTCCCCTTCAAAATAGCCCTTCGTCAGAGCAAAATATTAAATATATAAAACCATATAAAATACATATATGATAAAAATGGTGGTGGTTTAGTGGTTATGGCGACCATGACATCAAGAGGTCACAGGTTCGATTCTCGTCGGAGATAATCTATCTCATAATCTATTTAGGCCCTATGGAACAAAATTCATTAAGGACTACACTGTGCGATGGCAAACAACAAACAGGCATCAAACAGAAATAAAACAATGTTACGTCATTTTTCGACGAAATGTAGACGTCATAATAATTTGAAGACGTGGTAAATCAAAGCTGATAACCTCGATTATATGTTCCATATATAAGATTTTATACTATATTCTACATTAGCTGGCGATAGTATTTACATTAGCTGTGAGGCAATTTTCGTTACTACATTAGCGGTTGAGTATTCTACATTAGCTGGGGTTGATTTTCTTTTTACTACATAAGCTGTTGGTGTTTCTACATTAGCGGGGAGTTTTACTACATAAGCTGTGGAGTGTGCTACATTAGCGGTTGTTACTACATTAGCTGTTGTTTTCTACATTAGCGGTTGTAACACAGCTGCCTTAATAATGTATTTTATTGATTGGGCGTTAATTTATTTTAAAAAAATTGTAATATAAGACAGACCTAGAGAAAAATCTCTTCGTTGTGGGTGGGGATTTAACTTTTCTGGTCGCAAGGACAACCTGTATACATCTTGTACGGTAGCCTTGAACATTTCAGATGTCATCAAAATGTTGTTATATATTGTCAATACGCCGCGTGTCATCTATCTGAATTTATATAATTTGCCACCCCTCTGGCTATTGTTTAATAGTACCGGTAATTATAAAAGTGTATAACACGGCAGATGATTTGTGGGATGTGATCCCGTGCGAATTTAACCTTATATTGATTACAGTATTTCTATGGATCAAGTCGATTATACAAAACAGTATTATGTTTGTGGACAAGCGAGCAACGCGTGGACCGATGTTGTTTGCACAGACTTGTTGGTTCCGTTCTCTCAACATACGGCTTTTTTTCTCAGTTGCCACTAAAACTAGGACAGGCAAGAGTCTAGGCCTATGGAAAAAAATATTATATCCACTTGAGATCTATAAATAACTCTGGTGGGAGGCTAATATTGGTGGTATTGGGACCCATCGGTACCGAGCACTTCCCATTTCGGGGTAGCACGTTGCTCCTGATAGGCCTATTTGACGGCAGGTACGGTAGTCTAACAAAACAAGGATACTAAACGAATGGCACAACTTAAAACATCTGATCAGAATTATGAAATAAAACTTTTGGTGGGGATCAAGATGGAATTTGTGGTCATAACTTTGGTTGGTGGGATGGGATTTTTTTTTTTTAGTAGTCAGATGTCTTTAAGTTGTCGCTTCAGACAAGTAAATGCTTGTCGGAAAGAAAAGGAATTAGAGCAATTACCACTGAACACCCGCTGGTGCTGCCACGAATGGGAAGGATCCAATAATTTGGGAAAAAAATGGATGAACATGAGGCAGGAGGATACCCGAGCCACTGTACTTCACGTGTCTCCAATGTGACTTGGTTTTAATGTGTTGATATCATAGACCTATAAACGGAAACGATACGTAGGCCTAAGTCTCTATCTACAGCCGTATTATTGTATCAAAATGTTGAGATCTTTACATGGCACATGGCACTTGGCATTTATCATAAGGGCTTTAATTAAGCATGAATTAGCCGAAGGATGTCAGAGAAATATCGTCTATGTCTAAACCGATCACGTGCTTACTACTAATGGCGTGGTATTGTAATTGCTTATAAAGTTTAAGTCCGTAAACGACAGATCCCTCAACACGAGTAATGATTACATGCGATATAATTCGCCTACGATGCTCTTCCGTTAATTTTTTTTTTATTGATGTAAATATTTCTGAGCGGAAAGGATGTGGGTGATGGAGAAAAAGTTGGCTACCTTTGCATCATTTCATCTTACTTCAAATGCAGTTTCGAATGAAACATTGACCAGTAGGCCTAATTAATTAAATCTTCGATATTGAATATAGTGAGCTCTATCGCCATCATTCCTTATAGAATGAGAAAGTCAATATGCCTATTTTCTGTCCTAATACTTTTATTTAATAATGTGAAGATAAATGAATTCATTTAGATATAAGGAACAAGATAAGCTACAGTACACAATGACAATAACTGAATGTATCGAAAGATGTTTTGACTTAAGTTACTAGGCCTATATTGATCTTATTGTTGTGTTCATTTTTATGGGGGAAAAACACCACCGTATTCCTGGATACGGTTGACAGGCGTACAATCAGCAATCGCTGAAAAAGATGCGTTTCCATCGTAACCATTGTATATTAGGCATTATCCAAACATACAGACTACAAAATTACTTGTCTTTACCGAAATATTAATCATTTCCTCGAACGAATTACAACGTTCTGAGTGCAGCGGCCGGATGGTTTGATTAATTTGATTATGAAATTATCATCTTGTGATGATAATTTCAAAATCAAATTTAAAGTTTCTAATACGATGATAAATAATACACAGAGTATTAACAATAAATAGCTTACCTGCGTAACTCACAATTTGATGTTGAGGACACTGATGATGTAATGTATAAAATGTCAGATAAAGTAGTTATATGGTTTGTCATCGAAGACAGTCCAGCCAATACGTAAGCCAAAAACACATCGATTTACCTCCAAGCGAGGAAAGCAACGATGAATATATCAAATAGTTACCAAACGATCTTTTGTACCAATTAGTGTTACTGTTCAATGAAATTAAATTCGTCGCACTGCCGAGGAAGATGAGTTTTACATTAACCCGTCGGTTGGGAGCATGTCGATTTGAGAATCGAGTGTGACCCGATGATACGTACAAGAAATGCATTCGTTTTTCATGAATTGTAAACAAGATGTCGGTGGCGCTATACAGTCGATTAAGTGATAGACGAGTTAAAGGCTTTAGCTATTATACATCGATGAAGCACATGGATAGCAATAAAATCACATACGATAGCAAAAATAATGGATTTTATATTATAGACCTAACCCAAATAAGACTAGGCCAGTAAATAAATGAATAAATGTTTTCTCAATACTATGTGCTTCTAGGTCTCATCATATTAAGTAATCGTCGAGTTATTTTTAGCCAATAATAGGCCTAGGATAGGCCTACCTATTTATATACTTTCATGTGATTTACTATTATTCGTTGCGTATTACACATTACCTTGGGAAAAAACGTGTCCTAATGGGAAAACCCAAGTGTATATCACTTTGGTCTCATAACTCAGTTGGTAGAGTATCCGAACTTTAATCGGAAGTTCTTGGATTCGAATCCCCATGGGGACATACTTTTTTCTCATATTTATATACTGTAACTCATTCAACTATTAACAAATTTCTAAATCCATTTACAGTACATGTAAACCAGACCAGAGAGTAAAAACAGTGCCCATTGAATAGTGTTATTTCTCGATGCACTGCAAATAAATGAATACCGTAACCTTTAACATTAAAGGATAATTATTAATTATGTTACGCCCTCATCTTGAAAAACAAGGGATCCTCAAAAACATTCTTACAAAATAAATCATGTTATAAAACAGAGATAAACTCTAAACTGTCTTTGCGGTGATTCTGTATTTAAACATGTTGAACTTTAAAAAGTATGCCCAAACGCCCTTTTGCTGTCTGTAAACGTCTGGGCCACTAGGTTCGTTGGGAATTTGAATTCGAATGGAAAAAAAACTGACAAAACCCAACTCTATTTATTTTAATTATTATACATTTCACAATTTTTGGCATTAGTGAGTACCTTTTGTGCCGTGTCGTATACTCAGAGACGTATCCAGGGTGGAGGCGGGGGTGGGGGAGCCGTGGGAGCTGCAGCTATATATATAAATTTAAGACTGAGAGTGTATTTCTGCCATCTAGAGGTGCCTTAATCACAACTTTTCTTACATCAGGCCCAACCGTGGTGGGGCTGAGGTGGGTGGTTTCTCAGTCTGTGAAAGTCCCTCCCTGGTTCAACTCTCTTTCGAATTTCTGGATCCGACACTTTTGAGTTGTTATATAACTATTGTTAGGCTTACTAATATTAGTTGATGCATTTATTGCAATTTTCACTTTACCGTATCCTCTAAAAACAGTCCTAAAAACGTTCAGAGTGCGTTACTTCACAGGGGGATTCGCCCCCGCCGGGGTTCTATGTACCTCGAATAACGGCGCTCGCCCCCCCCCCCCCCCCCCCCCCCCCCCCCCCCCCCCCCCCCCCCCCCCCCCCCCCCCCCCCCCCAAAA